GCAAGCGCCCACCGGCCGCAACACGCTGAAGGGCCTCGTCGCCCATGCCGGCCAGGCGCAAAGCGGCCTCGGCTTGGCGGGTGGCGGCTTCCGCAGATCGTTGGGCGGCCTGCGCCTCCTGCACGCGCCGCTCGGGCAGGATGCCCTCGTCGAACAAGCGGCGCTCACGCTCCAGCGTCTGCCGTGCGAGCTGAAGGCGGGTGCCGGCGTCCATCAGTCGCAGCTGCATCTCTCCGAGTGCCGGGCTGACCAGCCGCAGCAGCGCCTGGCCAGGCTTGACCGCGTCCTGGGGGTTCACAAGCACCTGGGCGACGACGCCGTCCACCGGCGCACTGACCAGGACGTCCAGCTCGGGCGGCAAGGTCACCCGGGCGGGGGCCGCTGCGCCCACAGCACTGGCTGGCGCGACCAGCTTTTGAAGGCCGACGCCCAGCGCCTGGAGCTGCGCCGGTGGGACGACGAAATCAGCGGCAGGCGCAGCTGCCACGGCCAGGGATGCCCAGGTACTGAGCACGAACGCGGGCCAGAGCCGGCGTCGAGAAGAAGACCGCAAGGTGTGCTCCCAGAAGGTGTTGGCCTGTCGACTGCTGATCTGATCGGTGACGTCAGGGAGCAGCGGCAGGGGCTGACGGCGAGTCTGGGCGGCACCCCTTAAGCACGGCTGAAGTTGGCGGCACGAAGCCATGGCGCCACGGCAGGCACAAACCGCGTCGGCCCACGCCCGTGCGATCAGCACATACCCATAGCCATGCACCACGCGGATGCCAGCATCGGGCATCTCTGCTTGGCTGCGTTGATGAGCTGAGCACAATCGTTGTCGTTTCGACTCCGTCGCCACACACCGTGCGGACCCTAGACAGTCGGGTCGCCGCGTGTTGTAGGCGCTGAATGGAGCGTTCCGCCCGGCAAGACTGACATTGACCGGGTCGCTGGTGTTGAGGTGTCGCGGACGACGGCCCTGCAGCGAGGCTATGTGAAAACCTACAGCACGCACCTGCGCGCCCCGATCAAACTCGCAGCGCCCCTTGGACGATCAATGAAGCCGCCGCAGCGCTCTCACACAGCCTTCAGCAAATGCTGCCAGTCGCCCGTCCCGACCTGACCCGCCGGAATCGGCCAGGAGCAGCTGCACCCAATTGATGCCCTTGGGCGGGGCCAGGGCGGTCTCGACCTCGAACTCGGCCAATAGGCCGGTTGAAATTCCTTTCCGGCATCTCTCGACGGGTCCTGTGACGTCCGACACAAACCGTTGCTGGGCGGTGGGGGGCGGCTTCAGCTTCGATTCATGCTCGGGCCAGACAGTCCACCGCAAAGCTCCCTGGTCTCTCTCATCTCCGAAATTTGCTGTAAAGGACCTGTCATGCGTTCAAATTTTGTCATGCAAGCCCCCGCTCTCAGCGCGCTGGCGGCAGCTCTCGTGGTGCTGGCCGGCTGCGGCG